GTTGGTCCACACAGTCTTCACAGAAGAAACCGGCCTTTCCCTCCAAAACTTTGAAAACTCAAGAAAGGAGGCAGGGGTCTCTGTGATCGATTCGATGACCCTTTTTCTCTGGGGTTTCATCCTTCGATGAGCTTTCAGTTCTGACTCTTGAGCTGAAAGGAACATTTGCAGAAAACCCTGAAAATCTTCTTCTCTTTTCTGGGTTTGGGGTGGAACAGAGTGAGAGAGAGAGCAACCATCGTGGCGGGAACCCCACGTTCCGTGGACAAAGTGCTCGATGTCTTTGGCGAATTCAATGGCGAATTCAATGGCAGACGCACTGGCATTCTCAGGGCTCTTATTACTGGTCTTCGCTCTCTCTCTCTCTCTCTCTCTCTCTCTCTCCACCCATATAGCACATAAAGTGATGGACACGCACTTCATTTTGTTTTTTGATCCAAGATCATGTTCTTACTCGCTGATGGGTTTCTTGAGTCGCTAAGCCACGAATCTTAGGTGTTTAATCTTCAAGGTGTAAATGCACGATCGTGCTCTGTTTTCTTCCCTAAGCCTTTTCTGGCACTCTCAGAATTTTTTCCGGATGCCAGCTTTGGGGAGCAATTTGCGGTTTCTGTTTTCAACCGTCAGCATGCAGGAAAAAAAGAATCTTGATCTGCCATTTTCGATCAGGAAAAAGAAAACAACATGAATCTTCTTCGTTGTTCGGTCCAAGTGTATATGTTTTCAGATGGTGTCTCTGGATTGATGGTGTCATGTCGTGCTACTTCAGAAAGGTTTGATGAGTAGTTTGATGTAATTTAGATTGGAGGCTGATGATTATTCAGTCACTATATAAATATCAGTCGGTTAGAGAGTTAGAATGAAGAACTGTAATTACAGGAAAGTCGAGGTGCATCTGCATATATGCTTACTATGTCGAGTAGTTCTGTGGTGTTTCTATCCACAGAACTAAAGCTATATTCCAAGTACAATCAACTTCAACAATTGGAATTTCGGATCTGTTACTTTGCAGTTTTTTAAGCTCGATGTTAACAGTTGTTAGTGAATTTTTAGACTGGATGGGTGTTTTATAAACGAAAACCATTTTCATATTGACTCGTTGGTGATTCATGTGTTGTGAGTTCAGCAAAAGATGCGCAGTGTTTGGTTGGGCTTCCAAATGGGTCATGGGAAGTTAAGCCTCCTGAAATGATGGATCCTCGTGACCTTCCTGAGCCAGTGTCAGGTATTAATTTTTGTAGGTTTTGGATGCCAGAGCAGGAATGGGCGGCACTGGTCGCTGCCCACTGCGATTCGTGGTTGCTCACTGTTGCATATGATGTTGGTGGACGTTCCGGCTTCACAAAGAGTGAAAGGTGTGACTACTAATTCCCCAGCATATCCACCACTTTGAATTTACTTGCTGAGCGACTATATGCCAATTAAGACGTCTGTGTTATTATGTGCGTGGTCAACAATGATTTAGAATGAATGCGGGTAGACTTTTTTAGCTTTATCTATATTGTGAATCTCATGGTTGAATAGACATGCGAGAACCAATTGCCCTAGCTTGATGTCCATTTCTAACTGTATAAATTATCAGAAACATCTAATTACTGAAACTTGGGACCTCTCCATATTGCATCAAGTGATCTCATTGTAATTATGAATGTCCCTTTCCACGACACTTTTATGGTGATTTACTCGCGGTTAATGTGCCACTTAATGTGACTGTTCAAAATAACTTTTACTGCACTGTCTCTGCCATAATTGATTTGTGTTAGTTAGCTTGCCTTCTTAAGCTTAACACTGTCAAAGAAACATAACCAAGATATTGATGGTTATAATGGACCATCCGTGTATTGTTTGATTTCCCATGGTGGTGTTAAAGTTCTTCCCGCTCCATTATTGTCCCCATAACAAGCCCTTATATTCACATGCTCTATATAGTCCTAACAGGGCCTGCCTATGACTTAGTTTTGCTCTTGATTATGAGAAAAAGCGAGTCACAGTGTGCCGTTGAGTTTGTCAATGCATATTATATTGACAGGGTGACAAACTTGATGATGTTGTGTGGTGACTGAAATGTTATTCTTGCTCCTTTTAGTTAGCACTTTTGAGGATGATGTCAGAAGTTTATAGGAGTGAGTAAATCATTGCCTTTTAAAGAGTAATATGTCGAGTAGTTTTAGTACCATCTTTGAGATATGTCTTAGCACTGTCTCTCCGGTTAGTATCTTTGGATTGAACTTCCAAACACAACTTTAGTCTAGGGTAAAGTTGATAGAACCCATTAGCTGGTGGAGATTGTTCAGGGCCAGATGTGTTCCTTCAGTTGACTCTGGACTAGTTATGAACTTTGTAAGCATTGATCCTGTTTGGTACTTCTACTTGCAGGGAGATGCTTTTCCAAAAGATAAATGAACTCCCAACCGTCTGCGAAACAGTGCAGGAGTCTGGCAAATACAATGACCAATCTGGCACGACGATGGTAAAACTCATCATGTTAACTGTTGGATTTAATCCTTTGACCCGATGTGTGACTTGGTTTTTATCTGGATTTTTGCCTTTGTAAGCAGTCAAAGAAACCCGAGTCTTGCTTGGCTGTCAACGTGCTTTCACCACATGAAGATGAGAGTGGTGCTGCTATAGAAGATGGCCACAATGATGGAAGCAGCAGTTATGGGAAAAGTAAATCCTCTGGAACGTATGTGAATAGCTCTAGTGATGATTCCTGGGCACAAAAAGATGAGAGTAGTGCTACCATAGAAGATGGCCACAATGAAGGAAGCAGCAGTTACGGCCAAATTAAATCCCTGGAACGCATGTGCATAGCTCTGATTATGATTCCGAGGACAGTGTGTGCTTGTGAAAGCGTTAGCTTGTAAAATCCACATACAGGTCCACTGATTGCAATCGCTTGAGGGCTAGAGAAGCTGGAGATATTGGACAGGAACATCATTTTTACAGTTGAAAGTATAAGGGAGATCCATAACTAGGCCAATCGAATCAAGGAATCACAGATGGTCTTTCTGGTGGCTACTGCTCTCCACTTTTTTTTTTCTTTGAACAATCTGGTCGGAGATCATGTTATATCGTTGCTTCCGAGTAGTGCATATCATTGGTCACAAATTGAGCAAACAAGTATTCATAGTCATACAACCAGTGAATTTGCTTCCACTGACGTTGCTAAGATTTAGGAAAGTAAAAAGCCTTGACATCTCGCTCTGTCCCAAACATGCTTTTTTGGAGAATGTGTTGGTGCAAGGCCTTCATTGAAGGTTGCCTCCTTTGAGGTTTTGCTAATGTCTCCATTAATATTCGTCAGCTGCAAGTGTTGGTTTTAACAGGAGGAGCCCTATCAGATTGCTTCACTCAGCTTGTACACATTCAGTCAAACACTACAACAGATGAAATCTCTTGGCACCCTGTAATTTGCACACCACACAGGACAACATATTAAAAAGCTACCCAGATTCCCAAAGAAAAGTCATTGAATGTTAAGAGAGTCAACTGGTCGTTTCAATGGCCAAGTAACACCTTCACTAGCTGCAACTGAGAGCTCTCCATACCTGCAACTGCAATTTTGTGCTTATTAGTCTACTTTTCTTCCTCATCCGCCACTTCACCTGAGCATGCCTTCCTCTTCCGTTCAGTTAAAAATCCGCTTTAAGATTGTGATTAACATACATTGTCGCTTGCAAATTTCCAGAGGTAAATGCCAGTACAACTGGGCAAATAATACATCTATCGACTCTATTACACTTATTTCCTTCTTCAATATGTTGCCTCCACTGAATATCATAAAGCTAAAACATTCCCAGCCGGAGTAACTTGGAAGGTAAAAGGACAGCATATAGTTATATTGGTCACGTCTGCTTAGGAAAAAAAGAGAGGGCTACAAGCTGGTGTTTTCACATGTAAAATGAGCCTCTGCCTAGCAGTAACAATGACGATATAGGACTAAGTTCATTCTCATTCCCCTCCTAAGCATGGTCCTCCCTAGATTCAACTAAAACTCTATGATGTGAAGAAATTTTTCGATATTTATAATTTATATCAAGAAGTTATTCTCTCTGTAATAATTATATTTTGTTCCTAATGCAAGATTCTAAGATAATATCAAAAGCCTTGTTTAAGAAGTTTTTAATATATGAAGTATAAAGTCTGTTTTTATTCTATTGTCAAACTAAAACAACCTAAAAAAAGATGCCAAAAAATAGAAAATGCAAATAATTAGCGAACTTCATCTCTTGGTCCTCATAACTTCACATGAGAATAGTTGTCCATTCCAAAGAAGTATTCAAAGAGCGATACCACAGTAAGCATCCAAACAAAAAGAGGAAAGAAAAAAGAAATATTATTGAAGATAAGAACATCCAAAACTATCATTTCAACAAACACCTACTATACTATCCTCCAAAAATATGAGTCACTTAGCCAAATGAAAAACCATATAACCAAATGATAATTTAGTCCAACAAACATACGGCAAATTGAGCACTTACATGTGATTGAATCTAATGTCAGGAATTGATTTGAAGAGAAGATGAAATAGCTTGAGAGTTTGCAATGAAGAGTAGAAAATGGACAGAAGACCATTTTTTATTTTAGGACGGAGAAATCATTGTCCACAATTTAATATATAGTTTTCTTCATCAACCGTAAAATATTTTTCGTTAATCATCCACTTTCAAACGGACATGAAAGTTTGGAAAATCACTTCGTGAAAAATCATTTTCACGAAAACGAACACACCCTGCATGCATGTAAATTTTTTCAAAGTGTGTGGGAAATATGTTTGTTGGGGGAGACTAGGGTTGTTGAGATCCTTTCTCGTGTTAATTGAGAAGAATGACAACGAGGGCAGTGCAGAATTGAGGAGAGACAGAGACAGAGAGACAGAGAGAGACACGTGTGTCCTGAAAGAGAAGTTCACCGTAATAACAACAAGAGAATCTCTAACCATAAAAACGGAATAGAAGATGGTGTCCAGTTGGCCCCCACGCACTCACAGAGAGTCTTAACAGAAGAAACCGGCCTTTCCCTCCAACATTTTGAAAACTCAGGAGAGGAGGCAGGGGGTCTTTGGGATCGATTCGAAGACCCATTTTCTCTGGGTTTTATCCTTCGATGAGCTTATGATTCTGGCTCTGAGCTCTGAAAGGAACATTTGCAGAAGGCCCTAAAAGTCTTCTTCTTTCTCTTTTCTGGGTTTGTGGGTCGAACAGAGTGAGAGAGAGCGACGATCATGGCGAGAAACCCAGAGTACGAAGTCAAAGTGCTCGATATCGTTCGCAATTTCAGAGGCAGACACTCTGGAACTATCAAGGCTCTTACTACCGGTCTGCTCTCTCTCTCTCTCTCTCTCTCTCTCATGAGGGTACCCCTGCATGTTAGTTTTGGCTGATATGACTTTTCGTCTGTTCTTCGCTTTTGGGAATCTGCAGACTTCGAAGAATTTTACCGGCAGTGTGATCCTGGTCTGTCTCTCTGTCTCTCTGTCTCTCTCTACTGGCACATAGAGTGATGCACATCCACTTCACTTTCTTTTTCGAGCCACGATCATGTGCTTGTTCTGATGCGTTTCTTGAGTCGCACAGCCCTGAATCCGTTTCTTTCCCTCAGCATTGTGCTTTCGTGTTTATTTTTCAAGGTTGTTTATGCACGACCTAGCTCTGTTTTCTCCCCTATATTAGTCTGTCGGTTAGAATGAAGAACTGCAATTACAGGAATGTCGAGGTTCATCTGCATATATGCTTACTATGTCGAGTAGTTCTATGGCGTTTCTATCCGCAGAACTAAAGCTACATTCCAAATACAATCAATTTCAACAATTGGAATTTCGGATCTGTTGCTTTGCAGTTTTTTAAGATCAATGTTAACAGTTGTTAGTGAAGTTTTAGACTGGTGGGTGTTTTATGAACGAAAACCCTTGTCATATTGACTTCGTCGATGATTCATGTGTTGTGAGTTCAGAGAAAGGTAAGCAGTGTTTGGTTGGGCTTCCCAATGGGACATGGGAAGTTAAGCCTCCTCAGAGTATCCATCCTCCTGACCTTCCTTGGCCAGTGTCATATTGCAATTTAGGGATGAATCAGATGTCACGGCAGGAATGGGTTGAAAGAGTCGCAGCTGTCTGTGATCCGTGGTTGCTTACTGTTGCGTTTTATTCTGGTGGATGTGCTGGCTTCACAAAGAGGGAAAGGTGTGACAACTAGTTCCCCAGCGTATCTGCCGCTTTCATTTAGCTTGCTGAGCGAGTATTTGCCAATTAAGAACTCTGTGTTATTGTGCTCATGGTCATCGATGATTTAGAATGAATGCAGGAAGACTTTTTCTTAGCTTTGTCTATATTGTGAATCTCATGCTGTATAGAGATGCGACAACCAAATGCCCTAGCATGATGTCCATTTTGCATAGGCAATCTCATCACAATTATGAATGTCCATTTCCACATGACACTTTTATGGTGATTTACTCGCGGTTAATATGCCACTTTATTTGATTGCTCAAAATAACTTTTGCTGCATTGTCTTTACCATAATTGATTTGTATTGGTTGGCTTGCCTTCTTAAGCTTGTCATCCGTGTATTGTTTGATTTCCCATCGTGGTGTTTAAAGTTCTTCCCGCTCCACTATTGTCCCCATAACAAGCCCTTGTATTCATATGCTCTTATATATTTCTCACAAGGCCTGCCTATGACTTAGTTTTGCTCTTGATTATGAGAAAAAGTGAGTCACAGTGTGCTGTTGATTTTGTCAATGCATTTTATACTGACAGAAGGTGACGCACTTGTCGATGTTGTTCGGTGACTGAAATGTTGTTCTTGCTCTATTTGGTGAGGACTTTTGAGCATGACGTCTGAAGTTTATAGTAGTGAGTTGATCGTTGCCTTTTATTTTAGTACCTTCGTTGAGATAGGTCTTAACACTGTCTCCGGTTAGTAATTTTGGATTGAACTTCCTAACACAACTTTAGCCTAGGGTAATATAGATAAAACCCATTAGCTAAAGGAGATTGTTTAGGGCCAGATGCGTTCCTTCAGTTTGGGCAAGAGATGACTGTTGACTCTGGACTAATTGTGAAACCTTGTAAGCATTGATCCAATTCGGTACTTCTACTTGCAGGCAGACACTTTTCCAAGAGATAAATGAACTCCCTACGGTCAGTGAAATTGTGCAGGAGTTTGGCAAATCCAATGACCAATCTCGCCCAACGATGGTAAAACTCATCATGTTAACTGTTGTTTTATGATCCTTTGACCTGATGTGTGACTTGGTTTTTATCTGGATTTTTGCCTTTGTAAGCAGTTAAAGAAACCCAAGTCTTTCTTGGCCGTTAACATGCCTTCACCACATGAAGATGAGAGTGGTGCTGCTATAGAAGATGGCTACAACGATGGAAGCAGCAGTTATGAGCAAAGTAAATCCTCTGGAACGTTTGTGAACAGCTCTGATGATGATTCCGGGGCACAAAACGATGATAGTGGTGCTGCTACAGAAGATGGCAACAATGATGGAAGCAGCAGTTATGGTCAAAGTAAATCCTCTGGAACGCATGTGAGCAGCTCTGATGATGATTCCAGGACACAAAAAGATTCAAGCGGTGCTGCTATGGGAGATGGCCACAACGATGGAAGCAGCAGTTCCAGGCAAAGTAAATCCACGCATGTGAGCAGCTCTGATGATGATTCCGGGGACAGCGTGTGCTTTCGAATGTGTTAGCTTGTCAAATCTACTTACAGGTCCACTGATTGCAATTGCATGAGGGCTAGAGAAGCTGGAGAAATTGGACAAGAACATCGTTCTTCCAGTTGAAAAGTATAAGTGAGATTCATAACTAGGCCAATCAAATCGAGGAACCACGGACGGTCTTTCTGGTGGCTACTACTTTCCCATTTTTTTTTTTCTTTTGAACAATCTACTTGGAGATTGTGCTATATCATTGCTTCCAAGTGGAGCATATCATTGGTCACAAATTAAGCGAACAAGCATTCACAGTGATACGACCAGTGAATTGTTTCAACTGATGTTGCTAGATTTAGGATAGTTAAAAGCCTTGATATCTCGCTCTGTCCCAAACAAGCGTTTTTTAAGAATGTGTTAGTGCAAGGTCTCTATTGAAGGTTGCCTCCTCTGAGGTTTTGCTAATGTCTCCTTTAAAATTTTTCAGCTGCGGGTAGTTGTTTTAACGGGATGAGACCTATCAGAATGCTCTACTCACCCTGTACACATTCGGTCAAATACTACAACGGATGAAATCCCTAGGCACATTCTAATATGCACACCACGCCGGATAACATATTTAACAGCCACACAGATTCCCAAAGGAACAGTCATTGAATGTTAAGAGAGTCAACTGGTCGTTTAAATGGCCAAATAACACCTTCACTACTGCTCATCTTCTCTCCTTCACTACCCATTTGATATTTTAGTGCTGCAACTGAGAGCCCTTCATATCTGCAACTGCAATTTTGTGCTTATTAGTCTACTTTTCTTCCTCATCCGCCACTTCACCTAAGCATGCCTTCCTCTTCCGCGTCTCTTAGTCTAAAAATCCACTTGAAGATTGTGATTAACATACGTTGTCGCTCGCAAATTTCCAGAGGGAAATGCCGGTGCAGCTGGGCAAATGATGCATCTATCGACTCTGTTACACTTACTTCTTCTGTATGTAGCCTTCACTGAATATCATGAAGCTAGAACATTCCCAGCTGGAGTAAATTGGACGGCAAAAGGAAATAGTTACACGGGTCACATCTGCTTAGGAATAAAAGAGAGGGCAATACGCTGGTGTGTTCACGTGTAAAATGAGGGTCTACCTAGCAGTAATAATGACTATATAGGACTCAGTTCATCATCATTTACGTCTAGCTATGGACCTCCCTAAAGTCAACTAAAACTGTATGATGTGAAATATAGAGCGTGCAAGCGCACTTAGAGTCGTACCTTAGAATGTTAAATCTTTTCTTGCTTTGGAAATTATTAGCTGATAAGTTCCGTACGGGATAAGTAGCTAGCTAGAGTCCATTCCTAGATAAGTTTATCCTAAATATTATGTCATAGCTTGAGGTAACCCCGGCCTTAAGCTGGTGGTGCATATGCATGATAATAAAACAGAGTCTCGTATTCGATAAAATCGATCTGGTATAGAGCAATCAATATATCTACTTGGCTAATAACTCGAGCTTAATATGTTAACGTGATTAGCTTTGAACTTTCTATGGGTGATCTCCTATAGATGTTGTATTGGAGTTCTCTTGCGCTTATTTGCAATCGTGTAGATTTATATAATTGGAATCTATGCATTTAGGAGAAAAGTGTTAAAAAAGTCCTAAACATTTTGCATTGGTGCCAATTTAGTCCTAAACTTTTTTTCGTTGCCAATTCAGTCCTAAACCTTTTGCATTTGTACTAATTTATTCCTAAACATTTTTTTGGTGCTAATTTAGTCTTAAACCTTTTGCATTTGTGCCAATTCAATCCTAAATCCTTTGCATTGATGTCAATTCAGTCCTAAACCTTTTTTTTGTGCCAATTCAATCATAAACCTTTTTGCATTTGTGCTAATTCAGTCCTAAACTTTTTGCATTGGTGTCAATTCAGTCCTTCTAGCTAAAATCTATTCACATGTCGAAGGACTGAATTAACACCAATGCAAAGGTTTAAGATTGAATTAGCACTAAAAAAAAGTTTAGGACTAAATTGGCGCCAATGCAAAAGATTTATGACTAAATTGACACTAAAAAAAGGTTTAGGACTGAATTGGCACCAAAAAAAGGTTTAGGACTAAATTGGTACCGATGCAAAAGGTTTAGGACTTTTTTGACACTTTTCCCATGCATTTAGTATAGTATGAAGAAGTTTACATCTTTAGTTGACACACAATTCAATAGCTAAAACTCATAATTAGGTGCTCAAACTTTTGGGAACATTTATTGGACTCAGCCAAACGAATGAACCCACATTTTACGAGCACTATATTGATCTTCTCTAATGGGCAAAAAGACACCAACAGTGTCATAATTTTCGTGTGGTTCTCACTTTAACATCATAACTTTTAAAGTAATCACTTAAGTACCATAACTTTTAAAGAACATTCACTTGAGTGACGTTTACTTGAGAATTCTACGTGGCATTGATTTAATATAAAATCATCCAACATGACTAGCTAGGAATATAATGTCATTAAAAGGGCATAGAAACACGTTGTGAACCCTTTCCTTGCCCCAAATTGACGATTTGTGGCTAAAATTAGTTTCATTAAAAAAATAATGGAGAGTAGAACGGAGAGAAATGGCTCACAGTCTTCTAACAAAGTTTGGCTTTTCCCCGAGACAGAGATGAATATTATTTTAAAAAGTCCAATAAGAATAGCTTGGACAGGATTGACTTTTAAAGCAATTACTTGAGTACTATAACTTTTAAAGAACATTCACTTGAGTGACATCCACTTGAAAATTCTATGCGGCATTGATTGAATCTCAAGATACCGGCGCACCAATATCGATCATTCAGTTGGCGACGCCTTGGAGAGAGGAAAAAGCATAGAATTGCAGAGAACGATAACCATAATCGAGAAGGAATGCAAATTCTAGGGCACACTCAAAAAGGAATCGGATTAGCGGAAGAAACCTATCTCTACCTCTACCATGGTCGGGATCGCCACTAAACTGGAGGGACAACAAAGATGGGCCATGATCCCTAGGCTTAACTCCACTTTGGACTTAACTCTCTTTTTAAAAAGAAAAAAAAAAAAAACCAAGTTGGATGTGTTAGGATTCATCTTTGGAGATATATTGACGGAGAAAGTCAAGTGAGCATTTTTTTTTTAAAGTTATGACTCTTGAGTGATCGATTGAAAAATTATGATATCAAAGTAAGTGCCGTAGAAAAATTATGACTCTTTTAGTGTCAATTTCTCTCTCTAATGTGTTAGGTACAAGTTACAATTACCAAATAATTGAGCGCATAGTTTCAGCTAGAATTCATTTCTCTTGAGAGAGTCCGATAAAAACACTGTCCAATGTCCAAATGCCTTGGATGGAGGAAAACATACAGAAAATAATTGCAACCTAGTCCTTACTTCAACCACTTCTTGCATATATATTTGGAGTTTGCTTTTTATTTTGTAGCATTTGAAAATTGGCATTTATCTAATGTTAATAACTTAATACCTTTCGTAATGCACAACAAGTGAAATGTAGGGTCGTTTAAATTTTCATATCATTTTGAAGGATATATGATTTTTTTTTATTTCAAGATTTTGAAGGGATAACAAAGCAAACTTGGCTAAAACGTAAAACACCCTTGATTTCAAAAAAAAAAATTAAAAATGAAATTCCAATGAAATATTTGCTTCGATTGATATTGTCGAATTAGCCGCTTATTCATGTCGATGATCTCCTTTCGTCAAAGCATTTTCTAAACTCGTCCGATCTTTTACGTAATATTTATTCTTGAGACTAATTAAATGTTGAAATGCAATTACATAATCAGAAAGAAGGAAAGTGAAAAGGATGCTCATTCTAGGTCCACAAGATCTAAGATCTAATCAGTTGATATATGCATATATGTATGTGTGTATATGTATATAACATCAGAATGTCCATTTCCTTGCTCAAACTCACCCCATTTATGTGGAACAAAAAGAGAACAAAAAGAATTGGTGAAGAGGAGTACTAAATGATTTTAAAAACTCCCAAGTTCCAACCATAGTACATGCACTTTTTCATTTAACTAAAAGAGAATAGATAACTTCTACCTATGTACAATGAGCAGGATCAATATTTCTCCATGAGTGTACATTACAGGTTTCACATTGCGACACACCGTATTTTCGCAGAAATGATGAACAATTGAACACAAGAACATAAGCCCAAAGTATCGCAACTGAGTACATTGCACTAGCAGAGATGAAGTTCACTTTTGAGTACATTTCCTTACCATGAACAACGCATTCTTAATGGTATATGTAGATAAATAAAAAACGACTGAAAGTTGAAGAAGAGAATTACGAGATTGAACTTCAATAACATGAGAGAGGAGAACAGCGTAGCCATGAAAAGACCACTTCGTTTCTGATTGCACTAGAAAATCAAGTGTGTGAGTAAACAGCAAGATTATATTGCATATGGGGGTTGATGAGTTAAGAAAAGAATATGCAAACTCATTCTTAATCGCGCAACAAAATCAATCGAAATTCAGGAGATTATTCTACCAACGTGCTCGATGCATGCACACACATGTATGCATAGATATCAAAAGGGTATCGGACCGATGCTAGGCTAAGGCTGTTTTACAATATTAATCTACTTAAGTAAAGAAAAAGGTTCCCTAGGAAGTTTGAACGAGTGAATTATGTTCAATAGCAAGAAAGTGTACTTACTAATTGGCCTGAAAAGAGCACTTACTATGGCGGATTTATAAATCAGTCTTAACACCTAGCATTACACCATGGGTGTCAGTAGCATGCAATTCTCACTGTCTAGTCCGTGGACAATTATTATAGTTGCAACGTTCACATGCACACACGAGAGAGACAGTAACCTCAAACATCAAAGTTAATTATCTTAATCAGTGTACATACAAGCCATGAGCTGGAATATTATTGCATTCGGTCCATATATGTGTTATCGCGACCATTACTAACCTCGGAAATGACATGCTTTTGTGCCCTTCGCGATGTAGGAATTCATCGGCCACATGAACTTTCACTGCAGTGAAACAAGATGAAGCTCCACACACCTTTTGTGGAGTGAGCATCAATAAAAACCCTTCTTGCTTGAAATGCAATGAGAGCTCAAATTTTGTGGTGATTAAACTAACTAGGCTGAAACAAGAGGCATTATAGTGAGAGGTATCATGTTAAAAGGAAATGGGATTCCAATTTAAACCCCCCAACTAAGCCCAAACCCTAACTAGCTAGTACAAGTTCAATAACAATGTTACATCCATAAGTATCAGAAACTAGTATCTATCAAAAGCTTAATTATATCATCAGAGTAGTTACGAAAGGTCGAAGTCTGTCAATCGGAGCTTGATTAACAGTAATAATTGAGTCTTGACGAGTATTTCTGCAGACCATTAACTAATTATTGCGCTACTTGAAGGGAGTGGTGTTGTTGTTGTTGTACTCTCTGTTTGCATCTGGGACTGGATTCCATTCCCACAGTCTGTCAGAAAAGGGGGTCTGAAGCGGGCTCGGAAGCTTGTTCAGCGTCAGATTTTGAGACAGTGATGATGACGATGATGATTGCGGAAGCAGCAGCCCTTGGAGCTGCGAATACTGAGGCGGGTAATACTGTTGTAACTGTGGGTGCTGTTGTTGCTGCTGATTAATCGAAGCTGCCGCAGCTTGCTGGTAGTTAACTAGTCTATGGAGATCATCCACGGCATTCGTTGAAGATGAACTGGGGAACAAGTGGGGAAAAACCAAAGAGCAGCTGCTCGGAGTCGCGGCTTGCTTCGACAAGTGATGGTGGTGGTGGAAATTAGCAATCCCATCTTCTTCCATGAGCGCGAGCTGCGCCGCGGCCGAGATCGGAGGGATTGGGTAGTATGCGTTGCTGACATTGTGTTTCGAGAGGCCGAGTGTGGTCGTGACATCGGAGCTACTGCTTCCATCGGCTTGATCGTTGTTTTGGGGTGACTGCGACGATAATTGTCCCCCTCCTCCTCCGCCTCCCATGAATGCTTGGAATCTTTCAATCGCATTCGCTTGCAAATGGAGGCTGTGGCCGCTAATGGTCATGTTGTGGTGATGCTTATTCTGATCGGATGACGAGATAAGTCCTGTCGATCTCGAAGAGGAAGAAGAAGATGCTCGCGTTGGAAGCGTACGAGGGAGTGATGGGTGGTCTTCAACTCCAGATCTCTTGTACACTCGACATAACGATATTTCTGCCTGGAAAATATTGACAAAAGAAAAACAAACCAATATAAAAGAAGAACATGAGTGTTCACGGGTTAGAGATGAGAGAAGTTAATGTAGTACGAGACCACGAGAGAAGCCAATTTCAACGGAAATATGAAGGACAACTGCGCAAAATTTTCTACGACATTCACTGCAAAGAAGGATATTGAATCTGCAAGAGGTCTTGATGAGTTGGTGAACTGATATAAAGGTGATGAATTCCTTCTTGAAATTTGTGCAGAAATTTTGAATATCCTATTTACACTTATCGGAAAAAGCATATTGCGTAATCGTTAAATCAGAATCCTAGGAGTCTTAAAACTAGGGTTAACTAGAGATATCCTAACTTCATAAAAGATTGCTCAATTTCACATCTTTGGCAAAGAAGAAGTGATTGAATCTTTAGCTAGAGACTTTGCTTTCTTGCATGGTCAAACGACATCTCTACTTTAAAGTTTCGAAATCATCTCTTTTGTGTTAGATGATTAATCTGCTTGTGAAGAACCTGAAGAGAATGGAGATGGTTGACACCTTTTGATAGCGTTCAGTCTCGTGCTGCGGCAAGCGGTACTCATTCATAATCCAGCTGGTTCGGATCCCTTTGGGGGCCTTGCCGGAGTAGAAGACGAGGGTTTTCTTCAGCCCGATTGAACGGGAGTTCTCACCTCGAATCATCCGGTCGGCTCCCGTCGCCTTCCAATAGCCTGATGTGGTCACACGGTTGGGCCGATCACCATTCCTGTACTTCCGGTCTCGGGGCACGTAGAAAAACCACTCTTTCTCTCCAATTGCAGCTAAGGCTAATTTGGAAAAACAAAACCCACAAAAAAGGGTCAACGTGCGCCTTAAGATTAAGCATCAGATCTTGATGCTTTTGTATGAATAGAGAAGAACTGCTTGAATTAAAACCCCATCATATGAAGAAAGATATCAATTAATTGAGTAGCGTTTAAGTAAATACCAGGAAGCTCCCAAGGGTCATAGCGATAAAGATCGAGGAAGGTAATGAGTTCCACGTTGAAGCGCTTGCCCTCAACCTTACGGCGAAGGTAGAACTCCACGAGCTCTTCCTCGGTGGGGTGGAAGCGGAACCCGGGCATCACCATGTCATGCTCATGATCGTCTTTGGTGTTGTCGTTGATGGTGTCGCTGGTGTCTTCATGGCTCATGGTTGCAGCAATTGCCATAAAAATCACTATAAGCTTTCTATACAGCTAAGAGGAGCAAACTGAGTGATCCACTCATCATCACCATCATCGGCATCTCTTGTTTGGTGAAGCTTCCACCCTAATTTATAGCATGGCCCAAGTGTACGGATTTTCTGGGTGATATATGAAAGAAAGAGGTATAGGCAAGATAAGAGAGTGGTTAAAATCCTAGTACAGATGAATATGGTAACCTCTCTCTCTCTCTCTCTCTCTCTCTCTCTCTCTCTCTCTCTCTCTTCGTTCTTTTCTTCTAGTGCAGAGAGAGTCAAACGACCCGCAGAGAGAGAGAGAGAGAGAGAGAGAGAGAGAGAGATCTACATAGCTTTCAAGCCCTACGCGTTAATAACAGCGTTTAAGATGAGAAAATGACATCTCAAAAGGGAGGACAGTCTGACCTCATGTTCTTAGCGGTGGCCTTGGACCTTTCTCCCTCCTTCCCACTACCTCCATCCCACGCGCCCATCCCACACCATTCCATCCATCCAATTATAATATCGAACTACTTAATTCTTTTTTCAAGAATAGGCGATAAGCTAAGAAAGTTAAGCTGGTGATATTATTATTATTATTATTATTATTTGCTTTCTGTTAGTAAGATCACACATCAAACTATTAGGGTACGCGTGACAACGTTCTGTGCCCGGAAATTGATTCTACTCAGAAATGATTCTTTTTTATTATGTGCCCGAGAACAATTTCTAAACATTTGAAAGCGTTTGATAACTGCCCAAAATTTCTATTCTTAGAATAGAAACAGAACAGAAATGCGTTTGATAACTATACAAAATTTATTTTTATTAATAATATTTTGAATTTTTTAATATTTCTTTCTTTTTTTTTTCCTTTTTTTTTCTTTTTTTTCCTTCGCTTCCTTGGCCATGGTCGTTCGCTGGCGCCGGCGATCGGCCACAGGCCAGGGCCGACGAGGGCGTCGCGGCCCTCGCTGCCGATCGCGATGGCGAGGTCGGCCTCGCTATAGCCGAGCGAGTCTCGACCTTGCCCAGATCTGGCGAGGCCTCGCCGTTGCAGCCGCGAGCCGCCCTAGCCGACCACCGGGAGGGCCGCGACTCCCTCGTCGGCCCTGGCCGGTGGTCGGTTGCCGGTGGCCGGCCGGCGGCAGACCGGGAACAAGAAGAACAACAAACCAATATGGAAGAAAAAAATCAAGAAGAATCAGAAATGGAAAAATTGTTCAATAATCAATAAACTACTTGTTTTTGCTTCTTGATTCTGTTTCAAAACTAATTCTGGAATAATTTTTTGCAAATTTGTGTCGGGGCACAAAAATTTTAACAAACGGATTTTTACTCCCAAACTGATTATGGGAACAAAAAAACATAAATTTTCACTATTTGGCAGCTTGCCAAACACCCCCTTAATCTACCCGCACAGTTTTATTAAGATATGTTTGTTTGATAACAAAAAGTGAAAGAGGAGAGAGAATAGAATTATAAGTGGCATTATTGGCAGAATATCACTCGAGTGATGTATAATGAGTTAAGCTCTTCCATGTGGATGGTTTAAGTTGATTGTAATTATGGTTTTATGGTTCCTAAGTTAACTTTTTTCGGGGATAATTGTTCAAAAAGTACTAAACCTATTATATGACGACTAATTCAGTCTGAAACCTTTTAATTATGCTAATTAAATCCTAAACATTTTGACAATTTGTCAATTTAATTCTAAACTTGTCAATTATGTCAATTTAGTTATAAAACTTTTGAAGATTTGTCAATTTAGTTCTAGACCTATTATTTGAATATTTGGCCTAAAGGATTACATTAGCAAATTGTCAAAAGGTTTGAAACTAAATTGACAAATCATCGAAAGGTTTACGATTAAATTTGTACAATTGAAAAATTTAGGCTTAAATTAGCCTCCATATAATAGGTTTGGAACTTTTTGGGTAATTTTCCCACTTTTTTGGAACTAGTGTGCTAAGTATAATAAAGTTATGCTATTAAAAGGGTGCCTATGCCCTTTCTAGAGATAACCGGGCGTGCTTGAGCTGGACCTAATGTCTGACTTAACTTGTTATCCAATCAAACCCATCCTTGATGAAATTAATGTATAATTTTGCTTGTCAGGTTAATCTTGCGTCGGGCATTCTATCTCAATGGCCTTGATTAAAATTCACCTAGAATTGCCCTTCGAGCCCTTTTGGTTTGAGCAAGGCTAATGGGGTCCATTGATGTCACGCTCATGATTAGGTTTAGCTCTAACCTTGAGTTTTGCTTTGATGGGTGAGAATTGCATGATCATCTTGTGAGATTTCGTGAGATCACTATCAACTGTTCTAAAAGCTTAAACTATTAAATGAATGCATGATTTAATATTTAATTGTGCTATCACTCTTTTAACGCTTAGTCTAGTCTTTTTTACTAGTATTAAGCGTAGACATATTTAATTAGGGAGGCAAATGAAACATGATAAGATTGGAATACAGGATCTCCTGCTCTAATTCCAAATGAGATTTCGTGGGACCACTGCTAACAGTTTTGAAAGCTTAAGCTATTAAAAATGCATGATTGATGCATGATTGAATATATAATTATTCTATCGCACCTTAGCAAAAATATATATAGTCAATTGTGTCCGTTCCTCATGTTACAAGCATGGATAACATCTCTTTTATATTATATCGAGTGCTTTGCCATTAAGAAAAGTACCGCCTACATATAGCTTCTAAAGGAGGGTTAGATAATCAATCAATTTTGTGGAACTGGTTGATTAGAATTCTTGTGGGGAAAGATTATTAAAAAAGTTCTAAATTGTTCGACGGCTAATCAAGTTCTAAACTTTCGATTTTATCAATTTAGTTCTAAATTCTTTAATAATTTTCCAATGTAATCCATCAAGTCGATTTTAGCTTAAAATGGCTAACGGTCTAGTAAACGCCGACCGTCCTACATGACATGGCGGCACTGCTGTTGACAATTATTTGAAATTATTTATAATTTTCTGAATTTTTCTTTCTTTTCCTTATTTTCTCTTCTTTTCTTTTTTCTTTCCTTTTTTTTTCTTTTTTTCCTTCGTCGAATTTTGGATCAAGCGCGATCGTCAAGGCCAACAAGGGGTTGCGGCCCTTGCCTGGTTTGGGCAAGTCGAGGGCATTGCCGCCCTCACCCAGCTGCAACACCCTTGGCTCACCTGTGGCTGGAGATCGGTAAAGAAACGAGAAAGAAGGAAAAAGAAAAAAGGAAAAGGAGAGGAAACAATTACAAAAAATTATAAACATTGCAAAAATTGTCCACGTTATTGGTTTTTTGCGAAAAATTGACCGGAAGAACTACATTGAAAAATCGACAAAATATTTAGGACTAAATTAGAAAAATCATAAAGTGCAGAACTGAATTAACTGTCATACAATAGGTTTAGAACTTTTTGAGTAATTATCTCTTCCGGTGAAAGTTTTCTTACACCAAAAACTAGCAAACACTTCCAAATTATCTAGAGGGATAGAGCACATACAAGCAAAGTTAATGAAATGACACGAGAAGATATTCTGCTCAAAATTCACTCCCAAATCGGAAATTTTTGAAACAATTAATCGAAACGGTCTATTAGGAAAAAAAAAACTTTAATAACCTGGAGAATATGGTTGCAAAGTCTATGAGCATTTGAAGCATTTTGCTCCATTAGATAAGAATCCAATAATATAAAACTCGAGGTCAAGTTTTCTCTGACATGGAAGACAATCGAAATAATATCAACATTTGATATACAATTTACAATCTGATAGGTTCAAAACTCTAGAATAATTCATGTTTTATATAGCTAGGATAATTTAATTTATTCACATAGGCTAGAATATTTGAAATTTAAGGTTGTTATTTTAATCTCTAATTTTGTTCAGTTTATTTTTACTAGTAAAAGACTATATTCGAACGGAAGGACTAAAAATTGTATCTATCTATATATATTAAGAAGAATAGGTTTCAAAAGAATTGACCTATAATGAAAGATGAAGTAAAAGTTTCGTGAAATAAAAAAATTTATTTAATTTACCAATTATAGTTTGGATAGTGCTAGAAATCTAAGGAATCATAATTTGAAGGGTTACGGACACATAAAAAAATTAGCCATTTAATGCCATTTGCAGTGGCAGAATTTTTTTTTGTTTCAATTTCCTAGAAAATTTAATTATTTTATTTTTTTTCGGGAGAGAAAGGGAAAATGTACTCTTCGGCACTTTTGCCATCAAACCTTAATTGGATCACTATCAACCTGTATAAAATGAATCAGCAGATGATTTGTAGAATGCTAAGATGAGCCTACTCGGTTAATTAACAACCTAATTCTTTTGTCATTTAGGTAAGAGCACACGTGTGGTGCGGGCGCAATTTAAGTCCAATGCGGGCATGTTCTTCTGCCGGAAAAGTGAAATTTGGTTGTCAAAAAGCCAAACGAGCATGCTGACAAATGATCTGCCAATATAAAAAGCTGCATGTGTTGAGTACACATGTGACCAATTGGCTCCCTCGTTTTGGTTATTCAAAATGTTTAAGGGATTCTGATTAGAAAAATTACCTACTTCTCCTAAAAAATTGTATATTATAATTCGATTGGATTGGAAATTATTATATGGTTGGTATGGATGGATAGATGGTGGTGAATGATGTGATGCGTGGCTTCTGAGGAAGCCAAAGTTGAAATGAGATAAAACAAACATAGAAAATTATATTGGTGGGGTTAGGGTTGGAGCTGAATTGGACAAAAGGAGTGAAAAAATTGTTTTTGAGCGAAGCGAGAGAGAGAGAGAAAGAGAGAGAAAGAGAGTCAAATGAAACCCGTGATCACTCTCTCTTCTGTAAAAAAAGACAAAACCAAAGGAGGGCTCCTCTTCGTTTGTTGTCTTATTTCCAACCATATCTCTTTCAACTCTCGTTTTTTTCTAGAAAAAGATATCCTTTTTTCTAATAGGCATTTTTCAATAATTTGACTCTTGAGCACCTCAAAATCTCGAATTAAAGGCAAACGGCTTCTTTTTGCATTAATGGGGACTCTTTTTCCTCTCTCTCTCTCTCGCGCTTTATATCGTCATCCAATGCTGTATCTCCCTAATTCCCAATTGAAAATGAACCCTCTCTCTCTCTCTCCTTCTCGTCCTCAAATCGCCTATTTGTCCAACTGGGTTTCTGTCTTGTGTAAAGCTAGCGTTCTTGATTTGTTGTGTAAAAGCCAAACCGTGTCTCATTGGTTTGGAGAGACTTGAAAGCATCGTCAACAAG